GCGCGGTGCTCCACAGTGTGGAAGGGCTGTCCAGGCGTTGGTTCTGTGCCAGCCGCTTTTGGTCGTTTTCAGAACACCTGTTTTTTGTGTTCGAATCAATTTGAACATATTGAAGCAGAGGTCAGTCATGGTCAGTCGCATGGCTAGGGTCAGTCGTAGAGAAATCGAGAAATCAATCGGGTGTGCCGTCTCAATGGTTCAATTGGTTTCCCAGTTACCTAAGGGAAGGGATGGTTGATCTTGACAACAAGATACAACAGGCAATATTGATTAGAACTTCACCACGACGTCTTTGAAGCTTGTCTGCGAGTCTGATGACTGTTTCTTTGTTGCGGTTCAACTCCTCCAAGATCCCACGATCACGCTCTGGTGGCATGTTGACGCCTTGGCCGTGGCGGATCTTAGCACCTACACTGCCTACACTGCCTGTGCTCCTACATTCATATTGGTGCTCCTTACACGATCGCATCAAAGTGAAATTGATCGGAGAACCAGCAGAGGTGGCACCTGGTTTCGAGTCCCTATTGCCTCAGGTTGCTTTTCTCTACCCTTATGCTGTGTTGGAACATCCGGAGGCAGGATCTCCGGCTTTGAAGGGATCAACAACTCATCCATGGTATTGTGCAACTGTGGAACTCTAATTTGTGTCCGTTCATTCAATGGCCAGCACATGCCAGCACTATTTTCTTCTGCATGCCGTTGGAAACAGGACATACCAATCATAGTGGTTATGCCTCAGCAGTATGAATCCCCGATCTTATACAGTCAACCTCTGAGCAGTTTTCCCCGCAACAGCGTTCCGTCAAACTCTTGCATTTCCGACCTTTCGACTTGAAGTTTAGAGCTCAAGCAGAGGAGGAAGCCCACCTAATCTAATCTCAGAATCTACTTTGCTAACGCCAATCAGGTTGCATTCAAGGGATCTCATCGATCGATCGTCACGTCACATCTCATCGAACGGCTGTGTCAAAGCTGTTGAAACAACTCGTCTCCCGTCTTTGCAGAGCAGTGGTTTGGTTATTTTTTTGAGCTGCTATTTCTGTTGATTAGCTCGTCGTTTGGCTCAGAGATTTTGGTTTTGCTCGTGGTCGGCAGTCTCTCCAGCCGTCGCCGTCGCCTCAATCCCGCTGGTTCCACCAGTTCCACCGTCCAGACACGCCAGGGTGTTGCCCGACGACGCAGACACCCGGCGCTTGTCCTTCCAAGAGTGGACCGAGATAAATGCCAAGATCGAGGCAATGGTGCTTCTGGTCGAAGGTGATCAAATCAGAAAGAGTGGCGAGAATGGGCAGCAGTGGAATCAGGGTGCATTTATGACTGATTGGTTTGACGGAGACTCAAAAATATGTCAAGATATCGATCTCATTGATGATTGACACCACGTGGCCAAGACACCTCAAGTTAACAAGGGTTTGAATTCCAACCCATGTGGGCCGAGAGAAACCAGAAGATAATAGTGATTCAAGAGCCTGAAGATACAAAAACATAGAATCAGAGTTCTAATAAAATGGTGGACTGTTGCTTTTTTTTGGAGCACTAACAGAGACGAAGAATGAAAATAAAGGCAGTGAAAAGGGATAAGTGTGAGTGGCATCTCGGGGCTTCTCAAAATCCGCCTGGGTTGTTCGGCCTCAGAGGCCGACGGCACCACGCCGTCTGTGGCCGTGCAGAAGTGCATCTACAATGCCCTGCTGCAGGATGAGCACCTTGGCTTGATGAGTCTCCCAGCGATGTGAAGAGCCAGTGCTTTCTTGCCTAGTCCGAACTATGTGGAATCCTCCTTTGCCCGCAGGGTTTTCCAATAACTTAACATCAACCAGCCAAGCCAAGGGGAAACAATTAAATGCCCTTTTTCCACCTGTTTTGTCCGATCCTCGGTGGGTTGAGTGAGGTGTTTGGAGCTGCTGCCGGACACCTCCACAGCGCGTATCGTCAAGTCCTTAGGAGACGGTTGGAAGCATCGGGGTTGGGGTCGAGGCGGTTCACGCAGTTTCCTATAGATCGAGTTTGGTATGCGAGGGATGTGGACCAAGCTCAAGAGCAAACAAACACGGGACACAAAAGACATTCTCGAAAATGAGGGAAGGGGGTTGCCATGGTGCCTTGAACGTTCTTTGCCTGGTTTCAACAAACACGATGAAAGAAAGCCTGGACAGCTCCCCCAGCATTCAAGTTCAAACAGCGTTCCCCCAAACGAAGCCTTGGAAGGTCACTCGTGGGTGTTGTTAACTGGAGCTGACTGGCGCTGCTAAAGGTCATCAGCGGTGTGTTGGATTGTGAAGGCTCCCCAAGGCTCAGGCTTGTAGGGGCCAAGTCGGGGGCCGAGTGGTATTGCCAACTCCGCCAGTCCATGGCGAAAGACGTCGCGAACATGGGGGCACCTGAATGACTAGAAGCGCATTTTTTTGCTGCGAGGTGAAGAACGCATCGAGAGACACTTCGCAGGCTCGCCGCGCGTGTATTCATTTTTCCGGAAAAGCTTGGTTGATGAAAAGGACATTTCCCCCGTTTCTATCGTGTTCTGGCTCTCACACAAAGTCAGCAAAGCTTGTTTCGCGTAGTTTATGATGCGCAAGACGTTGCCAGCAGATTGAGCAGTGAGAGAGTGTGCTGCTCTTGCCGCGACCTTTGCCTTTGGGCTTCTTTGGAAAGTCATTGGCTGAATCTTTGGGCTTGGGCTTCTTGTCAGGGAACTTCTCCCAGCAGTCACTTGCACTATGACCTGACTTGCCACAATGCTTGCACTTTGGTGGCTTTGGACAATTCGATGCCAACTGACCTGGGTCTCCAAAATTGAAACACTCAAATTGGCCCTGAGGCTCTACTTCGAGCACAGTATTCTGCTGCCCTCAACCATTGTGTCGCTGTGCCAGCCCCTACTACCAACTGATCCATACACCCCCCCACAGTGCTATGCATCCAAAATGAAGTCGTACTGTCTCACCTTCAGACACATGGCTTTCCATCCACGTTTCTTCCAATGGACAGCTGGAGCCAAGTGTGTCCTGACAGGTGGATGGCGTGACTTTGATGGCTTGAAGCCCAGCGGGGGGCGGTTGGTGCCTGATTGTAGATCACCCAATGCACAAGCAGGCTCTTGTTTCTGATGATTTGAGGCGTTTGTCCGCCCTGCCTTGTTTTTTTTGAAGAGGATAGTCTAGTGAAGCCATAAACGATGTTATTGCGACTTGACAACAACTGAAGGAAAGCATAGCAAAGTGACAAAGTGGGTGCGTATTGGAATAGGGAGACCTCCCAAAGACCTCTTGGAAGACGGAAAATCGACAAAAGCCCATCGATTCGACGTTTCCTATTTTTCAAAATATACACACCCAAGGAAAAGACGGAGGGGCAACCCCCTGATCATCCGCATGAAGCTATCAGATAGAAAGCAGAGCTTTCCACAAGGGATCCGTACCGTCAACATGTCAAAAGTTCCGTCAACGTGCCAAAACGATTTTCGCCGTATTATGGTGAGTTTTTTTAAAGCATGTTGCAATAAGAGGTCTTTTTTGAATGTCGGCGCAATTTTTTATTCAGCTTCGCGGCGCAGTGCCCGTTGCCCCGCGGACCGCGCACGGGGCCATTGCCGGGCGCACGGGG